TCTAGCCTTTGTACCTATTTGATGATACCATGCTTTACTTTGTATCTTATTTATATTTTTACCTGATTATTGGACTATTAGTAAGTGTCGATGTCGATCCCTCGCCACTTCTTTTTGGAGGCTAGATTTGATACTTAGTACGTACCTTAGCTTTGTACTTATACTACACTTCTGCATAATTTTATGCAGGTTCTTAGGTTGGTATTATTGGTACCCATCCTATTGAGTAGAGGTGTTTGTTGGAGACTTCATGGTGAGCTGCCTTACTTAATTCGATCCACAACACATGGAGTTTTCCTTCCCTACTTATCTTTCTCTGTCTATTTATCTTCTTTCCTGACAAATGTTTATTGTTCAGTTGTGACTATTATTCTTGTTAGATGCTTGTGACTATATGACAATGGGTCTTGGAAGAGTTCTATGACAGTTGTAGTCGTGTTTGGATCCTGTCTTGATTTATATATATCACAATGCTATTTTGAGACTTGTTCCGCTTTCATATCTAATTCATATCCCTGTTAATGAGTTAATATTTAGATTCTAATATTGTTGAAGAGTGTTGATTTGCCTAGTAAACAAGTTAAGCGACATCATGGTCTATAGTGAGATCTTGGGTAGTGACATTCGATTTCGTAAAAGGTTCATATAAGCTGGCTCGCCTTCGACACCCACGCCTCTCAATTAGAAAGTGCACCTAGTCTAGGTAGTACAAATGATCCTTGAAGCGTCTTCATTTTGAGTTTCACTTGTTTTGAAAAAATTGTAAACCTAAAATTGCGATTCACTAAATCTAAATCGGTAATCCTGTTTTGATATTTTCGCTTAGTCTAATAAGCATATGTAATTAATTATGTCACGAAACCTTTTTCACCGTTTACGAAGTATTAGGCTACCATATTTTGGTGAGATCTTTGGGAACAATAATTGGAAAAGCCATCGAGGACAATTACACTAGAGAATTTGAGCAGCGTTTTATGATTATGATCTTGTTAATGTAATTTATTCGTTTGTTTTCTGCTTCAGATGTTGATATTGCTCGCAAAGAACCATGTACTCCATATGCTACTTAGTTTCTTACGTATTATTTCATTTTGTATATAATTATGCATTTTTAATATTTGATCTTTTATGTTAACATCTTTTTGGATGATTGTTACATATTGTATTGTATCGTATTGTTACTTTAAATACAATGCTTGTTTTGATTGTTGCTTAAACTGTAATGTATCGTATCGTTTAAACCCATTGTTACGTAACGACGATAAGTGTCACGTTATGGAACGACCGATTTGGTGTGGTCGCGTCGTTTTGTTATTTTTTCTCTCATCTTGCCATTTTTTATTATTAAATAATCATATTCTATCCATTATCCTGCCCTTTTATATAATAATATTACCTCGTCCCTTACCTTTTTTTTATAATATTGCAAGTTTATTCTTCATATTGTGGGTGCATGACATCATGAAACAACGGCAATAATATATTCTAACCAAACATTATATACATCAAAACGATATAGTACAGTAAAATAAAATACTATATGATACAATATGAAACGATAATGTTTACCATAAAGTCGGATAACAATTAAATTTATATACGATTTTAAGTACGCGTGATATAACTTGATACAAATTGAGAAGAATAAACTACTATTGAAATAGACAATTAAAGAACAAATGCAAACCACACAAATTGGATAGCCTTGGCCCTCTAGTTCAGTCACCCTTGAACCAAATAAGTATCAATTGGCTTAAGAACAGAATAACAAGACAATAATAACTAGAGAATGACAGTATATTGCTTTGTATTGTGTGAATATAATTATCTTTATAAATAATCAGACTCCCCTTTATATAGTAGGGGAGTCCTACCCAAAGTACAATACTATATGAGGTAAAAAATCTCATGATTGGCTAACTAGTCGGCCTCTTCTTGATACGTGCCGGGAATCGTGCCGTGATCCTCGCCCGATCGTGGATATTTTGACTTTCTGTTATTCGACTCGGTAAGCTTCCATCGATCTCCATCTTGTTTGGTCCCGATCTTGGTCGATCTCGATCTTAATTGGTCTCAGGGTCACGAGTTCGGCAACCTAACTTTGCATCATGGTTCGATATAATATGAGGCTGAACTTTGGCTCATCAAGTTCCAGTCTCGATCAGTCATAAAAAGGGGCAAGCTCGAATTTGACCGTATACAGATAGTCCCCTCGTTTCTTGTAGAGAAGATGACGAGAAACGACATGAATTTTTCCAATCGCGTCTCGATATGACTTGACACAAGCATCGAGCCTGATAATGTCGTCAGCAACAAGCGGTGACTGAAACATCCCGTTGGTTCGGTTTACCAAGGGATTAAATGCCTGTCAGTTGCTCGTCGGCCATCGTCGGATTTGAACAGCCACCAGCAAATTATATGTACCACCATCTTCTTCCCCTTAAACATTACGCTCAGAATTTCCCTCATTGTTGCTTCTCTTCAGAAATCTCTTTGCTTTGCAATTCTCGCTCCCAAATCTCCTGAATCTTAAGCTAGTCGCACATCACCCTAATTCTCTTCTCTTCTACTTTATAATGGAAAAAACTTAAAAACCGTACCGCAAAAGAAGGCCTCCTCTTCTCCATGGCCTGCCGGCGACGGAGCTACGGCGGAACCTCCCCTTGAGGATTTCGTTCCGGGAGGGTGCCCTGCTGTCGCAGATTTTAGGATTCAAAAAACCTCCTCAGTACCTGGTCGATGTGAACGATGTCGAGGTACATATGTACAATTACCGACGATCTTCTTAACAAAGTTAAAGAGGAGTGCCTCTAGGTCGATAAACATGTCGTGGTGCCCTCACCCGAGGAGTCGATCACTACCCATGTGGAGGGTTTCCTAAGTGTTTATACTTACCCTTTCACGTTGGGTCCCTTAGACCCTATCATCGTCGCTTTCTGCAAGCGGTATGATGTGACCCTTGGTCAGATCCATCCTTCCTTCTGGAGAATAGTATCCTCCTCTGATTCTTCGTGAGCAAAATCGAGGGATGTCATTTCACCCTCGATCACCTTATGCGCCTTTATAGTCCCCGACTTTATCAAGGAGGATTGATCAAGCTTGTTTGTCGGGCTGTTATGGCCCCGTCTCGAGCATAGACGAAGCTCGCGACCGAGGTTGGATGTGCCGATTTGTCCGAATAAGGACTTCGGACCTAATCCCTACTGAAGATATGTCGTTCCTTGAGAAATGGAACATGAACTGTGAGTAGTACTTTGCCTTTTTAATTTTGTTGTTTTACTTCTTATCTTCTTTCCTCATCTATATTTTTAGTGTTGCAGTTGTGGCCCAGGCGCTGGAGGTAATCCCCGATCTCAAGCAATGGGTTGAGAGCCTAGTTTCACAGAGATCGAACTCCGAGCGTGCTTTGATGGAATTCTCAAAGTGTCGATGAGAGGCCCGCAATCATGGTAAGCTTCTTTCCAAGAACGGTAATCATTCGGGCTACTTCTCGAGCACACTCGTCTCTTTTCCTTCGCAGGCCTTAGAAAGGATGTGGAAATGAGGCCCCCATCTGAAGAAGAAATCCTTTCCCAACCACCTGCTCCGAAGCAGGCCAAAGAGAAGAAGTGAAAAGGGGCTCCGAGTTCCCTGAACTCGAAAAAGCAAAAGCCAAAGAAAAGGCAAGCCCATAGACCAAAGGGGAGAACCATCTCTCTATCCTTGGACTTAGTGTGTGGTTCTGGTTTTGGAGCTGGGCTATTGCTGCCTGCTGAGTCTGCTACATTTCGAAGATCACCCGAAGGCTGATCCCGCCATCTTCACCGCCACGTGCGCTCTGAGAAGCTGATCGGGCATTCCATCGAGGCCAACAGGGGTACAATGTTTCTTGGTGCAATATTCTCATTTTTGCCGTTTTGGCCGAGATCATTGTCAATGTGTTAAGGTGCTGACTGAGAGTTTGACATTTTTTAATCGTGTGATCAAAGATACTTCAAATAACAAGTGTAAAATAGTGTGTGTTACGAAAGTTTGTACCAGGTAATCACTATTATCCTTAGCCCCACAGTGGACGCCAAACTGTTTACCTTAAAATTGGATAACAATTGAATTTATACGCGGTTTTAAGGACACATGATACAATTTGATACAAATTGAGAAGAACCAACTAGTATTGAAACAGACAATTAGAGAACAATTGCCAACCACACAAATTGGACAGCCTTGGCCCTCCAGTTCAGTCACCCTTAAACCAAGTAAGTATCAACTGGCTTACGAACAGAATAACAAGACAATGTTAGAGAATGACAGTATATTGCTTTGTATTTCATGAATATGATGATCTTTACAAATGATTAGACTCTCCTTTATATAGTAAGGGAGTCCTACTCTAAGTACAATTGTATATGAGGTAAGAAATCTCATCATTGGCTAACTAATCGGCCTCTTCTTGATACGTGCCAGGATTCAAGCCATGATCCTTGCCCGATCGCAGATATTTCAACTTTCTGTTATTCGACCCGGTAAGCTTCCATCGATTTCTATCTTGTTTGGTCTCGATCTTGGTCGATCTCGATCTTTATCGGTCTTCGGGTCACGAGCTCGGCAACCTAACTTTGCATCATGGTTCGATATAATACGAGGCTGAACTTTAGCTCATCGCATTCCACTCTCGATCAGTCATAAAAAGGAGCAAGCCCGAATTTGACCATATACAGATACATAACAACCATCCAAACAAGCTGTAAGTTATTTTTTTTTTTGGTTTAGTTTTTTTTTAGCAAACAGAAAATAATATATTAATAACTACGTAATGCTTCGTACATAATCGTCATAGTTTGTGTCTCTGAGGACACATTGATTACCTAAGCTTGCTAGTGTATTGCAAGCATCAACTAATAAAGACTTAACAAAAATATGGAGTTCTGATTGTTCACTTTCCACAATATTATTTACAAAGGGGTAGTACAAAAAGTTTCTTTCCCTTGCCCTTGGTCTTCTTTGCTATATGATGAGATGTCCTATTCCCTTGCCTGAAGATGTGCTGGAGGATTACCTTCTGCTGGTGCATGAACCACCTGTATTCATTAACAACCTTATCATATAGTTTATTACCTTGTTGTATTGCATGGATTACCTCCATGGAGTCTGTCTCAATTTCAAGAGGGAATAAACTCCATTCTTTTGTTGTTTTAAGTTCTTCTTTCAGTGCCTTCATTTCTGCTTCTAATGATCCATTTGCATGGGTGGATTTTGCAAATCCAACCACCCATTTCCCGTTGGTATTTCTGAAAATGCCTCTAAGGCCACATTTCTGGTTATGGTTGTTGAAACTGCCATCTATGTTTAGCTTAAACCAGCCTCTTGGTGGCTTGTACCACTTTATTTTAATGAGAATTTTTTGTGGGGTTTTGATGCTCTTTTCTGTGAGAAGCTTGAATTCAGAAGCCCTTTGAGTAATTTGAGCATCATTAATAGGGTTGACAGTATTGTTTTGATTGTTGTTATTTCTATTAAGCCATATATTCCAGATGTCAAATGGGAAGAAGGAATTCCAATCGATATACTTGTTATTAAGAGAATAGCTAAAGTCTTTTACTTGTAGGAGCCAATGCTTTTCCTTTTCATTATAGTAATTTTTCCACCCAAGACTATCCCAGAAGTAATTGACGGCTTTGAATTCTAGAATAATATTTATTATGGATTCTTCTTTTTGGCATTTACAAATAGGGCAGATGGGATCAATATTTAGCCCAATTTGTGAGAGGTATTTCCTGCATGGTATCCTATCATGAAGACACTGCCACAAGAAGAATTTAATTCTATTAGGGCAATTCAGGTTCAAAATCCATTCAAATTCTAAGTTATTGTCTGGAGGGGTTTCTATAAGAGTGTAACAGGATTTGGTTGTGAAAATACCTTTCGTATTTAGAGACCAAATTGGGATATCATTGGTAGGGCTATTTACCCTTAAGTTGCAAGGGATGTTGAAAGATAGTTTATCAAGGTTCCAGGTTTTTCCATTGAAAATATTCCTGATTTTAAAAAGTGATATCTAATAGAGAGAGGACCTATTACTATTTTTCTAAGGTTACCTATATTAGGTATCCAGTTGGTTTTCCATATGTTTGTGTTGGAATGGAAATGGGGTGACCATGTGATACCCTTTGAGCATAATTCTCATCCCTTTTGAATACTCTTCCAGACGAAGGAGCCTTTATGTTTTGCAACACTAGTCCCATAGGAGGTGATGATTAATTTAGCCCAGGGGGTTGTAGCATTTGTAAGAATTCTCCATACTAGGCTAGCTAACGTACATAGATTCTTATTCACAGCATTATGAATACATAGGCCGCCATTTGGTTTTGATTGGCAAAGTGTAGACCATTTAACTAGATGCATTTCTCTTTTTTCTAATGTGTTTCCCCATATAAAATCCTTTTGAATTTTATCAATTTTGTTGAGGATATTTTTTGGTAGTAAGGTGTACTGCATATAGTGATTGGGGATTGCATTCAGGCAAGAGTAGGCTAGTGTTGTCCTTCCTGCTAAGTTGATGAATTTCAGTTTTTAGGATGCTAGTTTAGCTCTCATTTTATCAATTTAAGAATTGGAAATCTCTAGGCCTTGGACAATTTTTTAAAATTGGGAATCCTAGATATATGCCAAAGTCGTAATGTCTTTGATGAGAGAAACGGAACAGTTTTTGGAGAAGTGAATTTTTGATTTGGTACTATTGATGCTTTAGCCTGATAGAGCACAAAACTGTTCTAGACCATTTCTAATGGCATGGCATGATTTGTCGTTTACCTTTGCCATTAAGGTAAGATCGTCCGCAAAAAATAGGTGAGAAAATTTGGGGCATCTATTACCTAAGGTTATAGGATCCCAGTTCCTAATATCTACTTGGTGCTCTATATATCTAGTTAGCATTTTCAAGCAAAGGATGAAAATATAGGGTGAAATGGGATCTATCAAAGCTTGAGCCTTTAGATGGAAATAATTATAAGCGTTGGACCCAGAAACTTTTAATTTTCTTTGAACAATTAGAAGTTGATTATGCTTTATTTAACGATCCTCCTGCCAATATCGTTGCTGATAATAATGCTGCAAATACTATTGTTGTTGACGTTTTCATTGCTGCTATGGTTGTTGAGGCGAACATGGTGGCTAATAAGACTAACTGGATACTGGATACAGGCGCTTCAAGGCACCTTTGCGCCAAGAAGGAGCTATTTCACGACTTTGAGGAATTCGCTGATGGCGAGTGTGTCTACATGTGTAACTCCACTACAGTTGGAGTTATAGGTAAAGGAAAAATTCTCCTTAAATTAGCTTCTGGAAAAACCTTAGCCTTGAACAATGTTCTGTATGTACCCTCCCTTCGTAGAAACTTTGTTTCTGGTGCGCTCCTCAACAAAGCAGCTCTTAAACTTATTTGAATCTGATAAAGTTATTACTTCTCGTGGAGGAGACTTTGTTGGGAAGGGTTACTTTAGTGGGGGTTTATTTGTACAGAACATCGCTCAAGAGATTACTAACAATGCTAGTACTTTCAATTCTGCTTATATTGCTGAGTCTATTGATTTGTGGCATGGTAGACTAGGTCATGTTAATATTGCTTTTATTTAAAGACTTAGAAAAATGGAATTAATTCTTGCAGTTAATGTTGATAATTTTTCTAAGTGTCATGTTTGTGTAGCAGCAAAATATTCCAAAAAGCCTTTTAAGAATGTAACTAGTAGAAAAACAGAATTGCTTGAACTAGTACATTCAAACTTAGCAGATTTCAAGAACACTGTTAGTAAGGGTTGAAAGAAATACTACATCACCTTTGTAGATGATTTTTCTAAATACACTAAGGTATATCTTCTTAAGTCAAAAGATGAGGCTGAAAGCATATTTTTGAAATACAAGGCAGAAGTATAGAATCAATTAGACAGAAAAATCAAGAGGCTTAGGTCTGACAGGGGTGTTGAATATAGTACTAATACTCTAGAAGCCTTTTGTGAGAAAAATGATATAATTCATGAGGTTAGTGCTCCCTATACTCCCTAACAAAATGGTGTAGCTGAACAGAAAAATAGAACCCTTAAGGAAATGATGAATTCTATGCTTTTGAGTTCGGGTTTATCTGATAATATGTGGGGGGAAGCTGTTTTATCTGCATGCTATGTTCTTAATAAAGTCCTTCATAAGAAGTTAGATAAAACCCCGTATGTGTTATGGAAAGGGTTTGCCCCTAACTTGAAAATTCTGAAAGTGTGGGGTTGTTTGGCTAAGGTTGGTCTACCTGATTTCAAACAAGTAAATGTTGGGCCCAAGACTTTTGATGTTATTTTCATTGGTTATGCTCAAAACAGTTCTGCATATAGATTTATGTCTTTGAATGATAGTTCTATTTGTGAATCTATAGATGCGGAATATTTTGAGCATGTTTTTCCATCAAAATTGATGTGCCTAGTGTTACGCCTAATAATGCTTCTAAATCTATGTCTATTAATTCGCATATTGTGCCTTCTTCTAGTGTTACTGCTAATGAGCATGAAAATAAACTTAGAAGAAGTAAGAGGCGTAGAATTGAAGCTAGCTTTGGTCCTAACTTCATTACTACATTCTTGACTGAAAATATTGATTTTGATGTTTTGAGTGATGAACTAGTATCAATCTATTTAATAGAAGAAGACCATAAGACATACAGTGAAGCAATGAGGTCAATAGATGCTAGTTTTTGGAAAGAGACCATTAAAAGTGAATTAGACTCTATAGTTTCTAATCATACTTGGGACTTGTCTGATTTGCCTAAAGGTTGTAAACCCGTAAGTAGCAAGTGGATTTAAGAAGAAATTGAGACCTGACGGTACAATAGAGAAATATAAGGCTAGACTTGTTATTAGGGGTTTTAATCAAAAGAAAGACATTGATTACTTTGACACTTATTCTCCTGTGACTAAGACAGCGACTATTAGAACTCTTGTTGCTGTAACTGCTATTCATAATTTAGTAATACATCAAATGGATGTTAAAACGGCTTCCTAAATGGTGATTTAGAGGAAGTGATCTATATGTCTCAACCTGAGGGATTTATGATCCAAGGACAGGAGAATAAAGTATGCAAATTGAGTAAGTCTTTGTATGGTCTAAAGCAGGCACCGAAGCAATGGTATGAAAAGTTGAATAGCACATTAGTGGATAATGATTTTGTTGTTAATGTATCTGATACTTGTGTTTGTTCCAAGATGATAGGATCAGATGTGTTATTATATGTTTGTATGTGGATGACATGCTAATCTTTGGCCTTAATGTAAATGTTTTTAATGAGACTAAGAATTTTTTGTCTTCTAAATTTGAAATGAAAGATCTTGGAGAAGCAGATGTGATTTTAGGGGTTAAAATCAAAAGAACTTCTAATGGTTTTTCATTGTCTCAGTCTCATTATATTGAGAAAATATTGAAAAGGTTTAATTATTTTGATGTAGCACCTGTGAGAACTCCTTATGATCCTAGCATACACTTGAAAAAGAATAAGGAATCTAGTATTTCTCAAACTGAGTATGCTAAGATAATTGGTAGTGTAATGTTTCTCATGAATTATACACGACCTGATATTGCTTATGCTATTAGTAGATTGAGTAAATATACTCACAACCCTAGTAGTGAACACTGGAATGCTCTTCATCGTTTGCTAAGGTATTTGAGAGGTACTATGGATTGATGTTTTCATTTGATTAAATTTCCTGCTGTTTTAGAAGGATTTTGTGATGCAAACGGGGTTACTGATAATGATGAAGTTAGCTCCACTAGTGGCTATGTGTTCACTTTTGGTGCAGGTGCTATTTCACGAAAGTCTTCAAAACAGACTTGTATAGCACGATCTACTACGGAGTCTGAATTCATTGCTCTTGAGTTGGAAGGGCAAGAGGCCAAGTGGTTGAGAAACTTACTAGCAGACGTGCCTTTGTTGGAAAGACAAGCTTCACCAGTTTCTCTACATTGTCACTCACAAGCAGCAATTGGAATTGCCAAAAATAGTGTGTACAATGGAAAAAGAAGACATATCCGCATTAGGCATGGTGCGGTAAAACAGTTGTTAAAACATGGTGTTATTTCCTTGGAATATGTAAGATCCGAAAGAAATTTGGCGGATCCTTTAACCAATGGTTTGGCAAGGAGAGTTATCCTTGAAACGTCGAGGGGGGTGGGGCTAAAGCCCATTGTCACGACCCCAGTTCACCCACCGTGAACATGTCGTGATGGCGCCTAGTCTCAACAACTAGGTAAGCCTAACAATGCGGAAACATAACAAACGTGTGGAATAATAGTCAAAACTGAACAATTTAAAGGAGAAACAGTATACAAAATGCCGCTTGGCATATACAACTCCACATCACAGCATCCTACGTTACTATCCCAAAACCCGAAAACTCACGGGAACACAAGCTAAAAGGAATTCAGTAAAGTGCTCTAATCTCTAGAAATGTCTACATCAATAGTACGATAGAAGGGCTAACACTACAGATAGAGTAAAGAAGGAGACTCTTCGGTCTGCGGACGCGGCAGATGTACCTTGAAGTCTCCGAAATGCTCCCTGCCTCAAGGATGATACGCCTGGTTAGAAGTACCTGGATCTGCACATAAAAAACATGCGCAGAAAAGGCATGAGTACACCACAGCGGTACTCAGTAAGTGCCAAGCCTAACCTCGGTTGGGTAGTGACGAGGAAGGTTAGGGCCCTAGTGAGATAAATATATATATATATATATATATATATATATATATATATATATATATATATATATATATATATATATATATATATAATGTAATGACAGGGCAATAAGCAGTAAAACTGAGAATCGATAATAAAGATCTACACAGTATAATAATAGTGCAATAACGGAAAATGAGATAAAACAACTACAAGGAAATACCCCTCATGGCAAGATAAATAATCGGGATCTCTTGGTATCATCAATATACACTCTAGGGATCTCTTGGTATCCCGAGGATCTCTTGGTATCCTCAATAAATATGTCAGGGATCTCTTGGTATCACGAGGATCTCTTGGTATCCTCAATACACGTGCCAGGGATCTCTTGGTATCCCGCACCTCAATCAAGACCATAATTACGCACAGGTGATCTCCCAGGATGTCGTCCCGTAGTCCAAATTTAAAACACACAACAGCAGCTCAACGACATCAAAATAAATTAAGTCTGTAATGAGTGAACAGTAAATTCTA